TTGTAAAGATACTATACAGAGGGTTACAGTTACATGAGTGAGGTAATGAGTACACTTCCTCTTGAACATTGTTACCCCCTCCATTGTTTTCCCCCTACCATCCCCTCCCTCCCTCCCAATTTTGTGTGTTTTTGTTTTTTTTGTTTTAGGTTGGTTGGGTTGCTTGAATTCTGGGCCTGGGTGCTATCCCTGAGCTCTTCAGTTCAAGGTGAGGCCTCTACCTTTGAGCCACAGCAACACTTCTGGTTTTCTGGTTAATTGGAGATAAGAGTTTCATGAGGGCTGGGAAGGTGGCTCAGTGACAGAGTGCTTGCCTTGCATGCATGAGGCCCTGGGTTCCATTCCTCAGCACCACATAAGCAGAAAAAGCTGGGAATGGCACAGTGGCTCAAGTGGTAGAACACTGACCTTGAGCTGAAGAGCTGAAGGACAGTGTCCAGGCCCAGAGTTTAGGCCCACAACTGACCAAAAAAAAAGAGAGAGAGAAAGAGAGAGAGAGTGAATCTTAGGAACTTTCCTGCCCTGGCTGGCTTTGAACCATGATCCTCATATCAGCCTCCTGAGTAACTAGGAGGTATGAGTCACCAGTGCCTGGCTTGTTTTCATTTTTTAGAGATGTTCAGATTGATAAAAGATAATGATGGGTTGATCACAACAGTGGCCTGATTGTAAATTGAAATTTATTTTATTGATTTTGTAACACTTACTGGAGAAAATTTGTGACTGGAAATGAAAAAATTACAATTTTTTCAACCTGAAGAACTTCTTGATGTCTTGAAATTATTTTTTTTCCACAAAATTGATGAATAGGAAAGACAAATTACTTTTAGAACAAAGAAAGAAAATAAGATTTATTCTTGTCTTTCTTGGCTAGGTAGTATGTACTGGTTCATAGACTTAAAAGACTTCACTAGGTGCTAGGAAGGTGGGTCAGTGGTAGAGCGCATGCCTTGTACACATGAGGCCCTGAGTTCGATTCCTCAGTACCACATAAGCAAAAAGAAAAAGCCAGAAGTGGCGCTGTGGCTCAAGTGGTCGAGTGCTAGCCTTGAGCTGAAGAGCTGAGGGAGAGTGCCCAGGCCCAGAGTTCAGGCCCCACGACCGGACCAAAAAAAAAAAGACTTCACTAAAAAACAACTCAATAACTTTTTAAAAAGGAAGCAGAAAAGATACAGAAATGTGAACTCCTTCACTATACTTTGAATATAGAAAGCAAAAACCTAATAACCCAAGTTGTATGGTATCTGTTGAAGATATAAGGAGAGTTTGTGTGGAATAAATAATTCTTAACTCCCTCTCTGTTGTAGACCAGGGAATTGTTAAAATATGTTCAATATGCTCTGGGTTAAATTTATTTTTTATGGTTTTGGATGACTTTAGATAGGAAGAAACGTAGTATAACATAATTAAAGACCTGAGTACAGAAATTAGTCACAGCTGGTTGTACAGGTTCATGCATGTTCATGTATGCTTTTAATTAGTTACATTGTACATATATTCACGGTTTATTGCATTGTAAAGGAAGATCACAAGGATTTGGAAGGAGCCATTGATTTTTCTAGTGTCACTGGAACTTGAACTTGGGGCCTAACCTTTGGGAGGCAGGTGTTCTACCACTTGAACCATACCCATAATCTTTTTTACTTGAGTTATTTTTCAGATTGGGTCTCATGTTTTTGTCTGAGGCTACCCTCAGATTTGGATCTTTCTATCTGTTACCTCAGGATCACAAGTATGCTCCACCATTACTGGCTTATTGATTGAGATGGCGTTTCACTAACTTTTTTAAATAGTCTGGTGTCAAACTGATTTTTCCAAACTCTACCTCCCCTGCAGCTGGGATTATAGATGTGAACCACAGTTCCTGACCCCGAAAACCGTATTAAAAATAGAATTGCCTTTTACTGTGAAGGTATAAAAAGCTTCTTACATGTGTATTTATATGTGTGTATGTATGTGTATATTTTTGAGAGGCAAGTCTTGAATTCACGATCTTCCTTCCTTACACTTTCAAGTGTTGAGATTACAGTTGTGTACCACAATGCTCAGCTTGAAAGCTTTGTTTTAGAAGCTATTGTCTCCCATTTGCTAAGATGAAGAAAATGTTCTATATTTCCTTAAATCACTTATCTCGTGAGGTGATTAAGGCATTGTGTTGGAATTCTCCAGAGCCAAAGAGGAATGTGAGGAAACTATTAAGGGAATTAGCTCATGTTGTTTTGGAGGCTGAGGATGTTTTATATAGCTAAAGGAACAAGGAAGTGGTAGTTTAACTCTGAGAGAGTCAAGGCTAAAGTCCTGAGAGTGCAGAGGAGGTTATTGATATGTCTAGGTTCCTAAAATCTGGAAAAGCTCTTATTTCTAATGCCCAAGGACAGAAGAAGGGTGCTCCAACTCTAGAAAGGAGTGAGTTAACCTTCCTCAGATTTTTTTGTTCTTTGTGGGCCTCCAGTCAATTAGATGGTGCCTGTGCACATGGAGGACAGTGTCCTCTGGAAACATCCTGAAGATAGACTCGGAAATAATACTTTACCAGCAATGCAGGTATTCCTTGGTTCAGTCAAAATTAACTGTCATTGACAGAATATAGCATTATAATGGAAAACAAAATGTATTGTTGATGTATTAATTGATAAGTCAGTACAAATGACTATCTCATGCTGCGTACAAAATGAAGTCCATGTGTTACATAGCCTGCAGTTGTTCCACTTACTTTTAGAAAATATTGTGTATATCTAGCTTGAGTGTGTATAAAATAATAAACTTGGTTAATAATACTTAGGAATATTTTATCTGTGGTGTTTCTACTAATTTTTTTTTTTCTCCAAAGTTTTTTAATCAGGTTCTGATGCTTGGGAAAACATCTATCAGCGATTTGTCAGAGCATGTTTTTGACTTAATTTTGGAACTCTACAATATTGATAGTCATTTGCTGCTCTCCGTTTTACCCCAGCTTGAGTTTAAATTAAAGGTAACTATTTTAAAATAATACAGTTGTTTTAGTCAGGCTAGCAAAGAATATTATTTGTGGCTTTTTAATTCTTTACAATAATTTTACCTGAGTAAAACAGTTGAGGGACTATTACCATTTAGTTGTGTCTTGTCTATCTGTATATCGACAGTGTCTGATATTTGCCTGACAAGTAGTAGATATTGACCAAATAATCAGCAGGATAACATTTTCCTTCAAATAGGTTTTTCTAGGTTAATTCTAGCATTTGGCTGACTTTTTACATTGAACTTGTATTTTCTTGTGTGTCTGCATGTATGTATGTATGTATGCATGTATATATATATGTACATGTACACATATATTTTCTTTTTTATTGTTATTATAAAGGTGATGTACAGAGGGTTTACAGTACATGTCAAGTAATGAATACATTTCTTTTTGGACGGTATCACCTCTTCCCTCACTTTCTCCCAGTTTTTCCTTCCCATTCCTACCCATATATTTTATAGCTCATTTTCAACGTAGTGTCTAGTGAGTAAGCTTGTATTTTCAAGATATAGGTGATATCAATTCTCTTGATCTCCTGATTGGACTAGAAAAATAGTTTAGAGCTTATTATTCACAGTTTTTTTTTTTAACCCAGTACTATGGTTTGAACAGAGTCTTACACTTGTTTGACAAATGTTCTTGAGCCATGTTCCCAGTCCTTTTTATGTTTATTTATTTATTTATTTTTTGATTTGGCATTTCATTTTTGCCTGGAGCTAGACTAACTGCAGTCCTTTCAGAATGCCTACCAAGTAACTGGATTACAAATGTGTGCTACCACACCAGTCCCCCAAATGCTTTCTTTTATCAATATGTTGTTATTTCCTAAGTTTGTTTACTTTTTACATAGTGAAAATTTTTGTACTCTTTAGGGAACATTTCCCTATTGCCTTGACATGAAGCTGTCAAAGTAAGTTTCATTGGTTTGATAAAATTAGGGAATATATTTTCTCCTTTTGAATCTTCTTCTTTGGTGATGCTTGGGTTTAAAGTCATAGTCACCCAGAGTACAGTACTCTAATTATTTCCATGCAGTATTTCTTATTTCTAAAAATTTTGATTTATCTCTTTCAAAGTAAGATAGTTAATGAATAGTTAAGAGATACTCTAAATAACTAGTAAATAATTGTTCTTGTTTTATTTTGGAGGATACTTTTGGTATATACTTTTCCAAGTCAGTCATTTGATTAACTGGCCTCCCTTTCCCCTTTTAATGTGGCTAGCAGTTTTGGTGAGGTAAGGCAGTCACCCTTCTAATTACTTTGTTGATTTATCTGATTTTCTCTAGTAAAACTATAAAGTAAATGCTATGTGCATTTTCCTATGAGAAATATAAAGATAAGGAAGTTATCATCCCTGCTTTCAGCCAACTTAACATCTAGTATGGGAGGAAGAGGAAAAAAAATCCAGATCTAATAAGAGGCCAGATATTATAAGTGTCGTAAGAAATACAAACAGCATACTATTGAAGCAAAGAAAACAGCATGCAGAAGCATATAGAGGTAGGAAGGTGCTGGGTGAATATGTGGAACATATTATAGTAGCTTAAAGTTTAAGGAAGGTAGTATAAGTTTAAATCACTCCTGGCCATACATTAGGATATTCATTTGTGGAACTTAATAGATTTCCATGTGTTAAATCAGACCAGGTGAAACAGAACTTATGAGAATAAAATTAATGCATCAGGTGTGTTTGTTTTGGAGCTTAAGAAATGATTCTAAATATATAGCCAGTGCTGAGTGCTTATTTAGAGGAATAAAGATTTTTTTTTTCTCACATACAATAGGGGTTCTTGAATGCTAGCTTGAGACATTGCTTAAAAAATGAGAGGGGCTGGGAAGGTGGCTCCGTGGTACATTGCTTGCCTTACATAAGGCATGAGGCCTTGGGTTCAATTCCTCAGCATCACATAAGCAGAAAAGCTGGAAGTGGTGCTGTGGCTCAAGTGGAAGTGTTAGCCTTGAGCTGAATTGCTGAGGGACAGCACCCAGGCCCAGACTTCAGGCTCCATGACTGACCAAAAAAAAAAAAAATAGAGTGCCATCCATAGCACCTTGAATATTAATGCTACTTGATAGACCCAATTGCCACATTTTGTGTTCAAGTCCAACACTGTGATTTCCTTATTATTTAGCTCATTGTGTTATTTGTTTGTAGTACCAAACTCAACAATAAAATTGAGTTTTTACCCTCAGATGCCTGCAATTTAGTATATAAAATGGAAATTCTAACTTTTACATATGTAAGGTGTTACAGTTATGCTGTTGAACTTCCTTTAGGAATCTGGTGTATATAGATTAACTGACTCTCCTATTGGAAGGATTCAAGACACATTTATTTCTACAAGAACTAAACTATAATCAGACTGAATTCTCTGTTTATTGTAGGCCTAGCTGCTTACGATGTTTTTTGTTAGAGCCTCATTTTTAAAGATATTTTAGTAGGTTTTTCAATTTGAGATTGAATACAAATAAGTTGTTGGAGGGAGTCTAACATTTAATTAGACTTCTGAGACATTTCATGTAAGGATACTGCTTTAATGTAATTTGAGCTAATTAGAGCATTATAGTATTTTATTTTGTGAACAATGTAGTGAGCATTTTTACATAGTTTTTCTTTTTTTTTAGGATTATAATGCATCTTTTTTTAATTTATTTTTTATTTGTGAACATACTGTACAGAGGGGTTACAATTACATGGGCAGGATAATGCGTATACATAGTTTTTCAATTGGAGTTCATATAAGGTTTTCTGTGATTGGAGAATAAGGGAACTTGGGATAGGTTATGTTGTGAATTTCTACCTCATAGTTTAAAAGTATTTGTGTTTTGTTTTAGAGCAATGATAATGAGGAACGACTCCAAGTTGTTAAACTGCTGGCAAAAATGTTTGGGGCAAAGGATTCAGAATTGGCTTCTCAAAACAAACCACTTTGGCAGTGCTACTTGGGAAGGTATAAGACTGTGGCTTCTTGTTTAACAGCAATACACATTTATATCTACTTAGATTATTTTTTCTTAGCTTACATTATTATGGGGGGTGTTCTTTTTTACATCTCCACTCATGGTCACAATATATTCCAATCATTTTCACCATCTATATCACTCTACTCCCGCTTTTTTCTCCCTCCCCAAACAGTTTCAGCTGGGCTCGCTCATTTCTTATGTTCATGTTCTGTTTTCATAGTTGCAAATACCTTTTTGACAGTATTAATTTTTTTCTTTCTCTTTCTTTCTGTTAGCTCTATGTTGTTTTTTTTTAAAAACACCAGCCACATTTAAGCTATGTTCTCTGAAGTCATAAAAATGAAGGTTTTTGTTGTTGTTGGTGGTGGGGGTTATGGGGCTTGAACTCTGGGCCTGGGCAATGTTGCTGAGCTCTTCAGCTCAAAGCTAGCACTCTCCCACTTGAGCCACAGTGCTACTTCCAGATTTCTGGTGGTTAATTGGAGATAAGAGAATCATGAACTTTCCTGCTCAGGATCTCAGCCTCCTGAGTAGCTAGGATTACAGGTGCTGGCAAATGAAGGGTTTTATTTGTGGAATTTTACATATTGATAATTATTGCTGTATTGGGCTGGGAAGGTGGCTCAGTGGTAGAGTGCTTGCCTTGCATGTATGAGGCCCTGGGTTAGATTTCTCAGCACCACATAAACAGAAAAAGCTGGAAGCGGCCTGTGGCTCAAGTGGTAGAGCACCAGCCTTGAGCTGAAGAGCTGAGGGACAGCGCTCAGGCCCAGAGTTCAGGGCCCAAAACTGGGGGGGGGGGAAAGATTACTGTATTTAAAAACTCCTTTTATCTTTTCATCTGTTATCCTATTTTTAAGATAGCTCATTTATAAACTATCTCATGTATTAACAGATGTAAAGTTAAAATTATTATTTTAAAGCAATGATTAATTCCAGTTAAAAATTCCTTTTGGAGAGACAATCTATCTATAGAAAGTTATATTTGGTTAGGTTATTTGGAGATATTGAAAGATATGGATAATAACAAAACAAAAAAATGATTGTGTATTTCTCTTAATTTTCCTTCTGTATTCTTACTTAAAGGAAGTGATGATCTGGGTTTCTTAAATTAGTTGCAGAACTTTCTAGTGTGCTGTGTATGTTATTTTTTCTATAGTAGAGGTTTGTTTCTTTACTGTTAATAAGTAGTTACTGAACCTGAAAATATTAAAAGCAGTACAGATGTTCTGACTGAAATCTACATTGATTGATCTAGAGACTAAAGAAGGACATTTATTCCCTCTAATTTATTGTCATAACGGAATGCTGTGAAGTCATTAACAGATGGGATTAAAAACTCCTACTGTATTTTCTTTGTGTTGAAATCCTTGTGTTAGTATCACCACTTTTATTTCGAATGTAACAACTATCAGATTTTTAATTAATTATTTATTTTGGGGACTGGGAATGTGGCTTAGTGGTAGACTGCTTGCCTAGCTTATATAAAGCCTTGAGTTCAATTCCTCAGAACCACATAAAGAGAAGAAGCCTGAAGTGGTGCTATGGCTCAAGTAGTAGAGTGCTAGCCTTGAGCAAAAGAAGCTCAGGGACAGTGTCCAGGCCCTGAGTTCAAACACCTGGACTGGCAAAAAATAATTAAAGAAAAATGGAATGTTTTGGTGGTACTGGGGTTAGAACTCAAGTCCTTGCCAGATGGGTACTCTACTACTAGCCATACTTCCATTTGTCGTTGTCCATTTGTCGTTGTCGTCGTCTTATTTTTTTTTGTCAGTTGTGGGCCTTGAACTCTGGGCCTGAGCGCTGTCCCTCAGCTCTTCAGCTCAAGGCTAGCACTCTACCACTTGAGCCACAGTGCCACTTCCGGTTTTCTGGTGGTTTATTGGAGATAAGAGTCTCACGGACTTTCCTGCCCGGGCTGGCTTTGAAACTCGATCCTCAGATCTCAGCCGCCTGAGTAGCTAGGATTACAGGCATGAGCTTGTCTTTTTTTTGTTTTAACCATTTAATTAATAAAATTTATATGCTGGTACTGAGGTTTGAACTCAGAGCCTGGGCACTGTCACTTTGTTTAGGTAGAACATTCAAGGCTAATGCTTTACCACTTGATGTACAGTTCCACTGTAGCTTTTTGGTGGTTATTTAGATGTAAGAGACTCATGGAGTTTCCTATTTAAGCTGTCTTTGAACTGCTCCTCTCAGCTCTTAGCCCTCTGAGTAGATAGAATTATAGGTGAAAGCCATCAGTGCCTGGATACCCTGATTATTTTTGTGATAGTGTCTCACTTACTATCCTGGTATGTTCCTAGGTCAAATCCTACCCATGTTAGGCTTTCTGTAGCTAGGAAAACAGACATGTACCAACATTATCCAGCTTTCAGTGAAGTGAGGGCTAGTCTTAGGAGCTTTCCTATCTCAGCTGGCCTTAAACTTCAGTTCTTCCAATCTCCCCAATTAGCTAGAATTACAAACATAAGCTGGTACCCAGCTACAACTACCATTTCCTAATAGTAAATCAAATCTTTTCATCTTATTTTTCTAACTTGTTAAGTGATTATAAACACACACACACACACACACACACACACACACACACACACACACACACACACACACACACACACACACACACACACACACACTCCTAAATTCCTAATCTTACTCCTTAGCTTTAGTTGAAGTTCACTGATAATATTTAATGAGGAAGTTAAGCTAATAAAATGTTAACACTTTGTGATTTAATTTTTAGACCTCTTTTTGGACAATAGGCACATTATCAAATTGTGCAACTGAATTTCAAGACTTTTAATTTTTTGAAATGGAAATGTACTTTTTAAATATACTTGTATTGTACAGCCATGCATCATGGAACCATAGGAACATATTGTGAGAAAGGACTTACACAAACTAATATGTCCAAGACATCACTTGGTGATATAATCTTAATGAACTACTGTTGTGTGGGTGACTTGATGATGACTGAAATACTATGTGATACATAGCTGTATAGACATTTGCTGTATTTTTAAATTAAGATTTATATTAGACTTTATTTTACATGTTTCCAAAGGAAAAATAATATGCCACCTATTAACAGTGTAATTTTTTCTCTTCTTTTTTTTTTTTTTTTGTTGGTAGTGGGGCCTGAACTCTGGGCCTGAGTGCTGTCCCTGAGGCTTCAGCTCAAGGCTAGCACTCTACCACTTGAGCCACAGCGCCACTTTTGGCTTTTTCTGCTTATGTGGTGCTGAGGAATCAAACCCAGGGCCTCATGCATGCAAAGCAAACACTTACCACCGAGCCACTTTCCCAGCCCAGTGTAATTTTTTCTTTTAATATTAATAACCTAAAACTCAGTATTAAATATTACCAAGTTTTGGGGTAGGAAATGTAGCTTAGTGGTATAATACTTGCCTACTGTGCGAACACTACATAAAATAATACAAAGAAAACAACCCCAAATGAAACCAGCAGAACATCACCAAATTTAAGGAGTCAAAATATTTCAGATTTTTTGTTATAATTATTTGTAATAACTGTAAGTTACATAATGAGTTAAAAATGATAAAAGTGTATGGGATTAAAGATGATTTAATATTTGAATTCAGAATACTCAAACCATGGGCTCTCTAGGCTAGATATTATAATTTTAGGTTTTGGAGACAAAGTCTGTAATGGAAAAATGCTTTTTTTCTAATAAACTAAGAAACTTTATTTTGAGTAATTTGTAAGATTTTTATCATGTAAATGCCAAATTTTGTTTCTTTTTATTTTTCAAAGTTTGTTTCTAAATCATTAGAAACTGGATTGAGAACCTTTTAATTTTGCAGAATTAAGGCAGTACTTTGAAAATACTTTGGTACATAGAAACCTTTGATTCATTTTCATGTACCTTAACAAATTAAAAAAATATTTAATGAGTTTTTTTTTGTTTTTTTTTGTTTTGTCGGTCGTGGGCCTTGAACTCTGGGCCTGGGCGCTGTCTCCTCAGATCTCAGCCTCCTGAGTAGCTAGAATTATAGGCGCGAGCCACTGGTGCCCGAGTTTTTTGTTTTTTATGTGGTACTGAGGATTTCAACCCCGGGCCTCATGCATGCTAAGCAAGCACTCTGCCACTAAGCCACAATCCCAGCCACCCTTAAAGAATTTTTTTTAAGTTGCTATTTTGCATTCGTTGATGAGCTGTTATAACTTTGAATATCGGTATTTGAGAGATGGCTTGACATCATGGGCTTCTTGAGGAATACAACACTACTTGTGAAATGGTCTTGCTTTAAAAAAAAAAAGGGATTCTACAGGAGTGAGGAAAGGGGTAGGTAGAGGAGGGATGGGTGAGAATATTGAAAAGGGTGACATCGGCCAAAATATATTTATATTAATAAACTGCTTTGTTAAATTGCAACTCCTTTGTACAATTAAAGACAATAAAGTTGAAAACTAAAACATAGGATTCTAATATGATGAAATATCTAAATCTTAATTACTAATTTATAAGTTTTAGGCATAGGGAGTCTTTTAGTGACATCAGAAAAATAGAATTAGAGAAATCTAAACTTGGAAAAATCTACACATAGGCATGTGTGCACACATACATACACACACTCGAAATGTTCCAATAAAACTACAAGGCAAAAGAGAGTTGGAAAATGTAAGATTAAAGAGATTTAAATAGAATGACCACAAGAGAGTTTTAATTTTTTTTTTTTTTTTGGCTGGTCATGGGGCTTGAACTCTGGACATGGGCGCTGTCCCTGTGCTCTTCAGCTCAAGGCAAGTGCTCTACCTCTTGAGCCACAGCAATACTTCCGGTTTTCTGGTACTTTTCCTGCTCAGGGTGGTTTTGAACTGTGATCCTCAGATCTCAGCCTCCTGAGTAGCTATGATTACAGACGTGAGCCACCAGTACCTGGCAGAAAAAATTTTGTAATTCTATTTCTGACAGCATATACACACATAGATTTTACTTTGGGTTTTCCTACATTGTTTTTTCTTTAATTTGCGAAATAAAATATAAATCTAAGTGCACATGTAATTTTAAATAAGCTTGTGTAAATTAACCATGTTTGTTTCTATTATTTTAAAAATTGCTCTTTTTATTTTATCAGATTTAATGACATTCATGTACCAATCCGCCTGGAATGTGTGAAATTTGCTAGCCATTGTCTCATGAACCATCCTGACTTAGCAAAGGATTTAACAGGTACTATTTATGTGCAACAAATATTACTAAATGCTCTTTGGTGGAAATATAATCAGCTTTATAGAGAAAGTATTTTTTGGGGGGGGGATTGTTGTGAAAAGTGAAGGCTTGTTTCAATTTATCATCATGGAATTTATTCTCTGAAGCTTCAATATTTATAGTATCATTCCTGTGTAGGTTAGAAACATATATAAGGAGTTAGTGCTTTCTTGAGCCAATTAGTTTCTTAGATTACAGACAGTGAGTTTTTTTTTAAGCAGTTGGATTTGAATAGGTCCTGTCTAAATAGAGATTATAAGGGGCATTCTTTAATATTTTAAGAACTTAAGTGAAAAGCAATTATATATAAACTTAGGTTGTTAATGTTTAAAAGTCTAAGGCAATTCAGCTTTCAGATTTTTGTATTAATAAGGCTATTTGTTGCCTATAGTTTTTAAGAACAATGAAATAATTCAGAAAGTATAGATTAAAACACAATTCCTACAAAACTGTTAGCATCTTCTATGTTTATGGGATTTAAGATAGGAACATACAGTTACAGTCAAAATGCCCCTCAGTAAATGTTCTTCTTACTTTTATATAACTACTTAACTACTATAGTGATTTGGTCTGCAGCCTGCTGATGTTTTTATAACTCTACCCTGTGTGTATCTTTCTATAAAAGAAATATATAATTGTGCATTTTCTTGAAATATTACCTGAATTTAAACTTACTGTCTTATTATGTGGCTTTTCCTGTTATTAATTAATTAATTTAGCTATTTGCTGTTTCTTTGCTATTTTCTTGTCTTCTGTTTCATGTATTATTAAGTGGGTTTACAAGTTAATATTTTCTTTTGTGATTTTTTTTGGGGGGAAGGGATACTAGTACTCTACCTTGAATTCAGGGCCTTGTATTCAGCTGGGTTTCTTTATTATTAAGGTATTGTACAGAAGGGTTACCATTTCATAAGTCAGCTAATAAGTATAATTCTTTTGGGATAATGTCACCCTTTTGTTCCCTTTCCCCCAGTTTCTCCCTCTGTCCTTGGCTATAAGTTGGACAGTTGATTTTCTACTAGTGTATACTGAATGCCATGACTTCATTTGTTCACCCTTCTTCCATTTCTGCACACCCCCCTCCAAAAAAAAGAGCCCAAACCAAAAGCACTACTACTGTTTCCACTACTACCACTACCCCCCCCCACACACACACACAATAAAACCATGTTTCCATTTGCTGGAATTCGTTTTTTTTTTTCTTGGTTGTGGGGCTTGAACCCTGGGCCTGGATGCTGTCCTTCTGCTCTTCAGCTCTAGGCTAGCACTCTACCACTTGAGCCATGGTGCCACTTCCAGTTTTCTGGTTGTGTGATTTTTTTTTTTTTTTTTTTTTTGTCGGTCGTGGGGCTTGAACTCTGGGCCTGGGCGCTGTCCCTCAGCTCTTCAGCTCAAGGCGAGCGCTCTACCACTTGAGCTACAGCGCCACTTCCGGTTTTCTGTTGGTTTATTGGAGATAGGAGTCTCACGGTCTCTCCTGCCCGGGCTGGCTTTGAACCGCGATCCTCAGATCTCAGCCTCCTGAGTAGCTAGGATTACAGGCATGAGCCACCAGCGCCCGGCTTGGTTGTGTGTGTTTTTTTTTTTTTTTTTTTTAATTGGAGATAAGAGTCTCACGGACTTTCCTGCCCGGGCTGGTTTTGAACCATGATCCTCAGATCTCAGCATCCTGAGTAGATAGTATTACAGGCACCTGGCTTGGAATTAGTTTTGATAAATAGTATTTTAAATATTAAGAGGAGTTAAGCCTTTCAGTTCCTCCCCTAAGAGTATCCTCCTTTAGTCTTGACTGTGTCTGAATGCCTAGAGTTCTGTATAAGATAATCATGTCCAGTTGTATTTTTGATCTAGCTTGAGAGAAAACATGGGCCATTTATCTCTCTGAACTTGGCTTATCTCATACAATTGTGATTTGTTTTACCTCCATCCATTTCCCTTGCATGATGCATTATTATTTTTAACAGATGAGTAAAATTCCATTTTTGGTAGGGCATCTTGGCTGTTTCCATAGATGGCTATTGTGAATAGTACAGCAATGAACATGGATGTGCAAATATCTTTATTATGTCCTGACTTGTAATGATCTAGATAGATAACCAAGAGTGGGATGGCTGTGTCATAGGGAAGTTCTATGTTTAGTTTTTTGAGGAGTCCCTAGACTGCTGTTCAGAGTATTTACACTAGTTTACATTCCCACCAGCAGTGCAATAGGATTTTCCCCTATTCCCATTTTCCCCCACATTCCTGCCAGTGTATGCTGTAGATTGAATTCTTTTGTTGGCGATGAAACTGGGGTAAGATGGAATCTGAGTAGTTTTGATTTGTATTTTCTTTATGGCCAGGATGTTGAGCATTTTCTCATGTGTTTATTGGCCATTCTTCTTCTGAAAAGTCTCTATTTTACTCCTTTGCCTATTTATTGGTTGGTTTATTAGTTTCTTAGGGATGTTAATTTTTTTGTACAATAGAATCAGGTTTTAATTATTTTGGAATTTTCTTATTAATATTTATTTATTAATTTTGGTCATGGGGCTTAAATTCTGGGCCTGGGTGCTGCCCCTCAGCTCTTCAGCTCAAGGCTAGCACTCTACCACTTGAGCTACAGTGCCACTTCAGGTTTTCTGAGTGGTTTATTGGAGATAAGAAACTCACACGGACTTTCCTGTCCGGGCTGGCTTTGAACTGAGATCCTCAGATCTCAGCCTCTTGAGTAGCTAGGATTAAAGGCATGAGCCACCAGCACCTGGCCAATTTTTTTTTTTACTATAAAGTTACTATATGGAGGGGTTACAGTTACATAAAAGTAAGGTGTAATGAGTACATTTCCTAATGAGCATTGTTACCCTCTCTTTTGTTTTTCCCCTTCTATCCCTTTCCTCCCATCTCTTCAACTCCTCCCACACCTCAAGTTGTAAAGTTCATTTTCAACATAGTGTCTTGTATATCTCCTTGTTATAGTGGGTCAGCTTGTATCCTTGTTTCAGCATTCTGTCATTTCCCTTTCCCTCCCCAAATTAGAAAAATGTATATACAAGATTCAGGGCACTAGAATCAAATACAGTGAAAAGAGGGGTTATACCATAGGGGGAAGAACATACAAAAGAAACAACAACAACAAAAAAATCACATAGTACATTAAAAACAACAGCAACAAAGAAAAAAAAACCCTTGTGTCCTTTGCTTAGCAATCATCGTATATGGTCATATGTATGTACATAGCTTTTGACCTTTTCTGCTTGTTCTAGTAAGATAATCCTAGATGTATACTAGTTATTGCAAATAAGGGAAACTATGAGACCTGTGTTTCTTGGGTGGGTCTGGCTTACTTCATGTATTATTTTCCAAGTCTTTCCATTTCCTAGCAAATGGGGCAATGTCATTCTTTCTGATAGAGGCATAGAATGCCACTGTGTGTATATCTGTCTGTCTGTCTGTCTGTCTGTCTGTCTGTCTGTCTGCTGTCTGTCTATCTGTCTATCTATCTATCACATTTTCTTGATCCATTCATTTACTGAAGGACATCTTAGCTATGGTAAATAATGCTGCACTAAACATAGTTGTTCTGGTAGCTTTAGAATGGCTTTGTTTGTGATCATTTGTGTAAATGGCCAGAAGTGGTATTGCTGGGTCATAGGGGAGCTCTATGTGGGGGATATTCATTTATTTTAGATATTAGGGCCTTGTCAAGTATACAGCTGGTAAAGATCTTCTCCCAGTCTGTTGGCTGTCTTTCTAGTTTAGTAATTATGCTTTGCTGGGCAGAAACTTCTTATTGTGATATAATCCCATTTGTCACGTCTCACTTTTTTTTGCTGTGCCCTTGGGACTCTTTTCAAAAAGTTCATACCTATGCCTTTAAGTTCTAATATTTCTCCTACTCCCATCTTAGAGTAGTTTCAGAGTTCAGATTTGAGGCTTAGGTTGAGGTTTTTGAGTTTATATTGATTTGGCTGTTTTTCTTGCTCTCAGTTGGTATTTGAACCATGATTCTAGTTTAGTATGACAGCTCACACTTGAACCATGACTCCAGTTTATCTTGTTGCTAGTTAATTGTAGATGGAGTCTTAAACTTTTCTGCTTAAGCTGGTTTTTTCTTTTATATAAACATAAAATTTTTGAGTATGTTTTTCCATAGTCAGACACTAATACCGGATTTACACTGGCTAAATAATAAATGAAAATAATATATGCTGAGTTTTATTTTTCCTAGACATCTAAAATACACTGTAGATATGAATAATTTTACCAGTAACCTTTTTAGTCCTTATCATAGATTTGAATATTTCACTTGGAGGCAGTGTATAGTCTCAGTTTTTATGACATCTTTATGTTATTATTTTGTAGCTTTTACCTTCTTTGTGGTTGGCTGGAATGAAGTCCAGGATTCTTCCTACTGTGCGTGCAAATTTCCAACTATTTTTTTTTAATTGTGAAAATACTGTACAGAGGGGTTACAATTACATGGGCAAGATAATGAGTACATTTCTTATCAAGCATTGTAGCCTCCTCCTTTGTTTCCCCTTCCCATCCCTTCCCATCCTCCCCCTGCCACCCCCCAATCCTCCCTGCTCCCCTCCCCCCCCACCAAAGTTGTAAAGTTCGTTTTTGACATAACGACTTGTACATCTCATTGTTGCAATAAACTCCTTTTTTTTGGGGGGGGGGTCCAGTCGTGGGGCCTGAACTCTGGGCCTGGGCGCTGTCCCTCAGCTCTTCAGCTCAAGGCTAGCGCTCTACCACTTGAGCCACAGCACCACTTCCGGCTTTTTTCTTTTTGCTTATGTGGTGCTGAGGAATCGAACCCAGGGCCTCGAGCATGCAAGGCAAGCACTCTACCACTGAGCCACCTTCCCAGCCCCAAGCAATAAACTACTTTTATCTGTAGTCTTCATCTCTCCTTTCTCTTGGTACCTAAAATTTCTAAACATTTTTCTGAGTGCTCTGAAAGTAAGCTTTCCTGTTGATCTCTTTTTTATTTAGACTTCATCTTTTCCCTTTGTCCTTAACATGTCCTGTCTCTAACAACCCAAATTTGTTGACACATCTCTTTTGCTATGATTTCTTGTTGTTTTTCTTTTTTGGGCAAATTGGGATTTGACTCAAGGCCTGCTCAGCATGTGTTTTACCACCTGAGCCATACCCTCAGCTCTTTTTTGGCTTTTGTTATTCTTCATCTAGGGTTTCCTGTTTTTACTTGAGGCTGCTCTTGGGTGATGTTCACTGATATTACTGTTGTCTGCCACCCCATCCAGTTTGTTGATTGAAATAGGGTCTTGCTAACTCTACCTGGACTAGCCTTGGCACTGTGATCCTCTCGATCCCCACCTTCTGAGTAGCTGAGATTATAGACATGAGCCTGTAAAACAGTATTTTACGTGGGGTATAGTGGTTCCTTGCTACTTGGAAGGCATAAATTAGAGCATAGAGTTTGAGTGTCCCAAGAACTAGAAAAGCCTACCATGAGCTGGGCCCTTAATTGAAAACAAAACATAACTCTTCCTCCCCTCCCCCCTTCCCCCCACCCTTTCAAAACTTAAAAAAAAATCAGATTTTTCCTGTGTGAGTAGAGATATATGTGTCTGTCTTACATACACACAGTCTTTTATTATTGACTTTGTTGTTTATGAGATTTATTCTCAGTCTTCCAACCAAATTTTGAAGTACATAGGTTCAACATTTTTGAAGAGTATTGATAAAATGCTTTGTTAAATTAACCATTGAGAATTTGTTTATTTTCTGTTATCTCTTCCTGTCATGGCTGCTGTTAGTGAACTAATAGCTTTTGTGTATTTGTGTTTAACGTGAATGAGTGGTTTATTGTTGGTATGTCTCTTTTTTTTTCTTTTCCTGTGACACATAAAATAATGTGTTGCTTGTGAAATATGAAGTATAAAACTGTATTTATCTTGGAGAGGAGATGAGCTTGATCAAATTAACATGCTTCATTTGAGATGACAGCACTAAAAATTACTTACTGGGTAAGATAACTGATGATATTAGCATTTTTTGAGTAGTTTTGTTGCTGTTTTTCTTTATAAGCACTTTCTCCCTATTAGAATAGCTCATGCTAGTATAAAACACTGAAAGTAGAGAGATTTAAGGTACGGTTACTGGTCTTCTCTGTCTTTGGAATATAGTTGTTCAGTGTTAATTTTTAGAGAATTAACATTCAACATTAGTGGATAAGCATGGCTATTTTTATTAATCTAAATCCAGGCAACCAAAATTTTATTCTGACTGGTCTCCAAATAAAAATAGATGACTAGTATCTTGGTTTTTTTATTAATATTTTTTATTGTGAAAATACCATACAGAGGAGTTACAATTACATGAGCAAGGTGTAACAAGTACATTTCTTATCAAACATTGTTGTCTCCCCCTTTGTTTCTCCTTACCATCCCTGCCCTCCAAGCTCCTCTACCCCCCACACTAGTATCTTGTTAAATTCATGTTTATTGTAAGCACTTTCTTAAATCTCATTCCTAAAGGGTGTTAGTTTTGCTTCATCTTAGTCATTGCAGGTGTGAATTCCATGCTTTTCATTTTAAGAACATGTTCTGCTGATCAATTTTAATTGTTTTTTCTTTCTTCTGTCTTTATTTTGTCCTTTTTTAGTACACTTAGTAGATTGTCTTACCATCTTCCTTATTCCTTTTCTTGGCAGCTAGTATTCCAACTTAATAAAAGTTCCCTTTATTTAATTAATATACTTTAGCCTTTTCTAATAACATTACTTGACTCCAATTATTTTATCCATTTATATGAGTTTTTTTTTTCCTGTTGATTCTGAGGTTTGAACTCAGGCCTCATACATATTAGTAGTTGTCCTATTTTGCATTGATTATTTTGAAATAAGATCTCATTTTGTGACCAAAACACCCTGGGCTGACATCCTCCTCCTTTTGCTTCCCTATAGGGGCTGACAGGTATATTGTTATTGTGCCCAGCTATTGGTTAAGATTGAGTTTTAGGAACTTTTGTGTCTGAGCTGGTAATCAAACTGCCATCTCTCAATCTCTACCTCCCAAATACCTAGGATTGCAGATTTGAGCTACTGTAGCCAGCAAAAAATGAAATGTTAAATTGTTGATACAACTCTTTATTTTATGACTCAGTTAATTTGGTTAGAAACTACCTAATCAACTTCCACCCTAATAAGTCCTGAGTTTTTAGTGAAGGACTGGCAGTCCTCTTTTCTGTTTTTCCTGGCTCACAATTTTCTTGAAATGTTGAATATTTTACTGAGGTTTTGAGTTTGCAGTGGTTTATTTTCAAAGATGTGTGTAATCTTTTAAAGCATTTTAATTATTAAGGTTTCCATTTTAATTAAAGAAAAGCTTCTCTTTCAGAGTATCTTAAAGTGAGGTCACATGACCCCGAGGAAGCTATTAGACATGATGTGATTGTGTCCATAGTTACAGCTGCTAAAAAGGATATTCTTCTCGTCAATGATCATTTACTGAATTTTGTGAGAGAACGAACGTTAGACAAACGGGTAAGAAGGAATAAGTAGTTATTAGAATTGCTACTAGGGCTTTAATTTCATACAGGAAGCTCAATGGAATTTCACTTGAAATACTGAATTTTTCTCTATATAGTAATTATATATTGATATTCAATATCTTAGAATTAAAGAAGATAATATGGTATAAAATGAGGGTAAATGAAAAACTGCATTTATGTAATGAAGTGTTTTTACCTTATAGGGAAGGGTTTTATCTGTTAAGTGAAATCAAAAACTAGAGTACTAATCTACTGAATTTATGTAATGAAAGCGTATTACATTATAAATGGAACTTTTTGTTTTAAGTGGAGAGTGCGTAAAGAGGCCATGATGGGACTTGCCCAAATATATAAGAAGTATGCTTTACAATCAGCAGCTGGAAAAGATGCTGCAAAACAGATATCATGGATCAAGGACAAATTGCTACACATATATTATCAAAATAGTATTGATGATCGGTAAGTTAAGGAATATATATGTATATATTTGAATGATATTTGGTGATTTGGATATAACTTCTTGATCTGTTATTTTATACAACTATTTTCTTTATAATTTCAGACTACCCCTTAGTTTTTAATACAGAGTAAATGGGACCAGTAATTGTTTTTATCTAAGGACATAAATGAAGCAGTAATGTATATGTAACATTAAGGATGCTACATATATATTTTTTTTTCTTGTCAGTCCTGGGGCTTGAAGTGGTACAGCTTTTATATTAATTTGAACAGAATATATATTTGAACAGAATAGTATTTAAAAGTAGAAATTAAATGGTTGTAACTTTAATTTTGTTTCATTACCTTTTTCAAATACAATTAAATAAAATAAACTTTAGATTTTAGATAGCTGAAATAAAAACAGTCCCTTTCAAGGCTAAAAGCAGGTTATAAATTTATATAAAAATATATTATTTAGCTGGGTGCTGATGGCTCACACCTATAATCTCAGCTGCTCAGGAGGCTAAGATCTGAGGAGCACAGTGCAAAACTAGCCTAGGCAGACAAATCTGTGAGACATTTTTTTCCCTCCATCCCCTGTGTGAAACTCTTACCTCATTAATCAGCAAAGTGTCAGAACTGGAGGTGTGGCTGAAGTAGTAGAGCCCTAGCCTTGAGTAAAAAAGCATTGAATCATGAGGCCCTGAATTTAAGTCTCAATATTGGCACAAAACAAAAGAATAACAACAAAAAACTCCTCCCCCACATTATTTAAAGATAAATCTTGTATTGATGATATCCATTTGGTTGTTAATAGAGCCCCCAAGCTATTTACAATTGATTGATTTGACAAATTAGTGGGATCTATATGGTTATGTCTGTGGCAGGTCAGAATGAGGAAAGAAGCTGTAGATTGCATTAACATTTTAAAGATGGATAGAAACAATATTTAGGATTAGCATTAAGAAACTTTTAGTTATTTTTTTTTAATTTTATTTGTGAACATGCTATACAGAGGAGTTACAATTACATGGGCAGGATAATGCGTACATTTCTTACCAAGCATTGCAGCCTCCTCCTTTGTTTACCCTTTAGTTATTTTTTTTTTTTTTTTTTTTGGGTCCGGTCGTGGGGCCTGAACTCTGGGCCTGAGTGCTGTCCCTCAGCTCTTCAGCTCAAGGCTAGCACTCTACCACTTGAGCCACAGCGCCACTTCCGGCTTTTTTTCTTTTTGCGTATGTGGTGCTGGGGAATCGAACCCAGGGCCTCATGCATACAAGGCAAGAGCTCTACCACTGAGCCACCTTCCCAGCCCCTTTTAGATATTTTTTAAAAATCATTTCGTATAACAAGTCTATTGTCAGACTTCTTTCTTTCCTTTTTTTTTTTTTTTTGGCCATTCTTGGGGCTTGAACTCAGGGCCTAGGCTTGCCCCTGAGCTTCTTTTGCTCAAGGCTAGTGCTCTCACTTGAGGCATAGCACCACTTCCAGCCTTTTCTGTTTATGTGTATTAAGGAATTGAACCTAGTGGTTCTGTGTATTAAGGAATTGAACTTAGTGCTTCATGCATGCTAGGCAAGCCACTCTACCACTAAGCCACATTCCCAGCCCAAGACTTCTTGAATATGTATTCTTGAATATATATATTCATCATCAGTACAGAAAGATTGACTTAACAATTTCCTAGGACTTTTTATTTTATTTTGGAGATAGTGTTTCCTTCTTCTAGGTCCCTCTGGAAGCAGTACTGGCAATGACAGTGATTTATTGTCCTACCTGGTTTGGGGAAGCAGGTCATGCTTCTAGTGAAGGAAATAAAAGAGGAAGGATTTCTTAGACATTTTAACTATGTCTTTATTCATATTGGGTAATTATGATAGTTCACAGTATATCTATTTTTCTTAATAAGAGGTACTGGCTTTTGAACTCAGAGCCTCACATTTGCTAAGCATGTGCTCTACCATGGAACCACACTTGAGCTCACATGTTGATTACTAAAAATCTGTAAAGAACTTAACTTTTCTTTGTAAACTTTAATGTACAGAAACATAGTATTTGGTGCTTGGAGTGACCTGGTATGGTTTTTTTATTAAACAGCTAGGAAATTGAGTCCTTGATGAACAGCTTGACCAAATTTATGATGCCATAGTTAACTTGCTTAGATATAGGGCTATTACTGTGTCCTTTTCCTGGACTCTTGCACAGAAAGAGTTGATTTGGCAATTCTACCGTCACTCAGGAGGGCTCATAAAGTGTTTTTTTTTAAAACCATATTTTGGAATTTGTCTGCAAATGTGGTACATTTAATCAATATGTTACCTTCTCTGTTCTTTCTATAGATTACTTGTTGAACGGATCTTTGCTCAATACATGGTTCCCCACAATTTGGAAACTACAGAACGGATGAAGTGCTTATATTACTTGTATGCCACATTGGATTTAAATGCTGTGAAGTATGTGTCAAGTGTCAAATTCATCTTTTTATCTTTTTCAGTACATTGGATTTTACAGAAAAACCATGGATACCTTTATATTAATGTGTAAACTATGTAATGTAAATGCTGTTGAAAGGGCCAAGACACAATAAACAACTTGACTTTATTTATGCTGTCAATAATATTAGGTTAAATAGAAACAATCAAAAACTAATTAGAGGTAATTAATGAGAAATTGAAGGATTTGATTTTTTTACCAAGTAATTTTTTTACCAAGTAATATAATATACATTTCATTTAACATGTTAAAAAAGGTCTCATAAAATACTAAGTTTGTCTCATATGGTCCTGGTTTATATTATGGTATAGGCAGTAACATAAAAATTTTTGAGCTACATAGCCTCAGCACAGTGTTACATTTTATCATAAAGGAAAGCTACAAAAATATATTTTTATTAAAATATTTGATTTTTATTTGTTATAAATTCATAAAATGTTATCTAATTTAAATGCATCCTAGAATGATTGGTTTGTCATAATTAGTTGTTGGCCTCTTAAGTTGAAAAAAATATATATACACGGTATATTTCTCCTATTTAAAACTCCAGTTTGTTGGAAATCATGGTAAATCTGACCATCTTGACTCATACATATTCATGATTAAAAGTCACATTTAAGCAAAACTTGAGAATTGGCACTTACTCATCCTTTGTGGAAAAAAATGACTAAGGAATATTTTGGCTAAAAAGGAAATTAAATCCACAAAGAGAGAGTATGGAAGAAGTAGCAAAAATTTTTTTTTATTATTATTTTTATTTTTGGGGGGGGTCGTTGTGGGGCCTGAACTCTGGGCCTGGGCGCTGT